CTGCGGGCCTGGGTCTCTGTGCTCCTATGAGCAGTACTTCGGCGCCGGCACCAGGCTCACGGTCATAGGTGAGGTTCGGCCGTCTCCCCGCCTTGCAGCCCCAGCCTCTGGGTCCCCGGAGAAGCGGGGGGTGGGCCGCATGTGGGGCGCGGCGAGCCGTCCGTCGGCAGGTCGGCTGTGCAAGCGTGGGTGGGGGCTGGGGGTACTCACAGTCCGCGAACCGGGCGGAGGCAGGGGGGTCTGTGTGTCTCTTTTTCTGGGGTGAACGGTGGAGAAGAGGATTTATGATTTATTAGAATTTTGAGAGCTGCTAGATTGGAGGAAAAAAGACTAAGACGAGAACCCCCCGGGCTGGGGGCCGGTGGGGGGGCTTCTCACTGCTTCGCTGGGGAACGAGGGCCGGAGGGGCGCCCTGCGGACTCCGCTCCGGGAGCTGTAGGCGGAGGGTGCGGCTGAACGCAGGAAAAATGGAATGGCAAAGCAGAGTGGGAGAGAGGCCAAGAATGTAGGTAAACATGAGTCAGTGAGGATGAGCATCAAAACCAGCCGGGGTTGTTGATTTACTGTTTACGAGTGTGGATTTAAAAATTACATTTTAAACCCCCGCTTGTCTCTCCTAAGCCTCAGACCCCTGAAGGCCAACGGTGTGTGTATAGCACCCACTCTGCCTGTGGCTGGTCCCAGACGGGGGACAGTAACCTCAGCCACTGGGGTCCATACACCCCCGAGGGGTTCCCCCTCCCCCAGCCTGAAATCATTGTCTTCACACTAAGTATTCTGCCTCATACAGTCTAGATGGTGCAGGAAGGTCATTTGTCACAAACACACATTGAAATACAGAAATTTTGCCGTGAGATGAGGAAAATTCCTAGGAGGATTTTAAGCTCTTAGAGATGGAAAGAGACCCTGAAGGTCCCCTGGTGATGAGAATGTCGAGGCCAGAATGGCCACCTTCACCTCGATTATTTAATAACAAGCACATTTGGAGTGAGGGGCTGGGTGGGTCTCAAACAGCAAAGACAAACTTTACAACTCACGATCAGAGCTTACACAAACAGAAGTTTACTAGTACACGCCCTTACACCCACATAGGCAAGCCCGCCCGCACCCCACAGGGACTCACAAACACGAGGGATAAGTGACCTGCCCTCGCCATAGGGCTGTGTAGACAGGGCTTCGGGGCGTAAGGATGGCCCTGCTTCCGTTTGTCCTGCCACTCACATCAGTAAACACTGGGGAGCCTCACGCATGGCTCAAATGACATCTTTAATTTCTACAATAAGGACTGAGCTTTTGCCAGGTGAGGAGTCAGAAGAGTGTAATCTATAATACCCCTGGAGGGCTGGTGGCATCCCAGAGGAAGGGTGTTTGAGACCACAGCCAAATATTAGTTAGGTTATTAACTGCAGATATTAGTTAGGATGTCACCATCTTAGGCCCGGGGCAGCCAATAAAGACCTAAGGACTTAATAGCAATTAGCAGGTCAGAGTTACAGGGATGGAGAGCTGGCACATTGGGAGGCAGGACCAGCTCAGAATGAAAATGAGGGGAGCTCTGGATAAAAAAAAAAAGAAAAAAAAAATGTTTTGAACTTTAAAATGGTGACAGCAGTCATTAAACCACACGTATGGCCCTTCTAAGTATGGGGTCCTGTGTGACCTGTGGATGTGACCTACACTTCCATAGAAATGTGACTTGTCAGTTAAAAGAGTATTTTCTCCATCTTCCGGGCTAACCTAGATTCTCCTAAGAATGAGCTTTCTTCATTTTAATGGAATTGCTCAGAAACAAACAAAGAAAATGAATAGAAAGCAAAGAACAGGATAAAATGAACGGAGAATGGCCTGAAAGAAATGAGCCAGCCAACAAGAAGGCTGCGTGGCTATTACCAAGAACACCTTCACCTGTGGCCATCCACGATGCTACAGGGAGGCTTAGGACAACTAGGAGCAAGATGTTGCTCTGTCAATCTCAGACGCTTATTTAGGAAGCTTGCTGGGGGTGGGAGGAAGGAGGTATGGATAGTATTTGGAATCAAAGGGGCAGAGAAGGTTGAAGAATCTCTGAATTGGACATAAGGAGAGTCTGCTCTCTGTCTGAACTGAGGAAACTCTGGGGGGACCTGGAGGTGGAAGAATGGCTAGGATGACAATGAACCACAGAAAAGTCAAGAAACCTCACATTCTCATGAGTACACCATGATACAGAAGGGTGACCTCACCTGAGTGCACGAAAATATGCCATTTGAATACCGTCATCGGAAGACAACCCCAGTCCCAAAATGATCCCCTTGTCCCCGACTCCTCTTTACTTCGCAGCCCTTTAGATTCAGATACGAATAACCCGGCTGAGGACAGGGGTGCTCTGAGCCCCTGTAATCTCCACACCCACTCTGCACAGTCAGCGTTGTGATTCCCCCCTTTAGAGCAGGAAAAATGATACAGAGAAATGACAGTCCTAAAGTCACCCTGGTGGGCAAGGCCAGTTCTGAGATCTGGAGCCTGTTATGCTGATTCCAACCCAGTGCGCCCTTTAAGTAACTATCAGACCACATGCCGAGAAGCAGAGAGGTAAGCTTCTATAAAGATGGAGCAGAAAGCAAATCACATACTCAGAATATGAGGCAGTGCCATTCATAATGCCACTCTAGGGGGGTGGACAGTAGGTGGTGACCCCCAAACAAATAGGACCTACTGCATAATTTTGCTTTATGGCGACCCTCTTCTCAGCGTGTGGGCGCGTGCACACACACACACACGCACGCACACGTGTGCACGCACAGCCCCTACCAAACCCAGACAGCTCTCAGACCAGCCCTCTTCCCTTCCAGATGACCTGAGCAAAGTGAACCCGCCCAAGGTCACCGTGTTTGAACCATCCAAAGCAGAGATCGCCAGGACACAGAAGGCCACTCTCGTGTGCCTGGCCACAGGCTTCTACCCCGACCACGTGGAGCTGAGCTGGTGGGTGAACGGCAAGAAGGTCCAGAGCGGGGTCAGCACGGACCCTCAGGCCTACAAGGAGCAGCCCAGCCAGAGCGACTCCAGATACCGTCTGAGCAGCCGGCTCAGGGTCTCCGCCACCTTCTGGCACAACCCCCGCAACCGCTTCCGCTGCCAAGTCGAGTTCCACGGGATCAGTGACGAGGACGCCCGGAGTCCGGGAGACTCCGAACGCGTCACCCAGAACGTCAGTGCAGAAACCCGGGGCAAAGCAGGTGAGCGGGGCCTGGCGGGGTCCGGAAAGCAGTGAGCCAGACCGGAGAGAACGGGGGATCCGTGTAATGGACCAGAAAGACGAGATTCGGACAAAAAGGGGTGGGGCGGGAAGACCCGAGCCCACCGCCAAGGAGAACGGGGCGCTGGGGCTGGCTCCTCCCCAGCCCCCGGGCACCGCACAGCCTCGCTGCGGGGCC